TAGTATATATATATATATATATATATATATATATGTTATAAAAAGTAATACGAATATATATTTATATTTATTTCTAAAAGTTAACTCTGACTTCTTTGAGCAATTATTTACAACTGTTTCATAAAGACATCAACTAATCTTTAATCTCATACTGGTGTTCAGTAGTGTTAAATTATAACTGGGAGTTTTGGGAAAGTAAAAAGGAACTGCCAAAGCACTACTTAAACAAAATAAAAAAAAATGCATGGGAACCAATAAAATTAATTCATTACTTTTATGTAGCATCCAAAAACCATAATATAGTTGGATTATTTGAAGTCATATAAATATATGAAAGTTTAACTCCATGGCTCCAATATTCTCATATTTATTTACATGTAATTTAAATGTTTAACATCACTATTTTTATAAAACTGACTATTACATGTAAAAACCATATGATACTGTCCATAACTTTAATACATTGTAACTTGTAAACATAGACTTGATTTTGACCAGGTGGGGGGCAAGTGAGTTTTACAGCAAATAGATTTTGAGAAAGGAAATAATCCCATCTTTCTGATGATATGGTTTTGTTAGCTTTACAAGCTTGAAAGCTGAGAAACAAAAAAATCCAGTGAGTTGAATATTACAGTTTTTGACACTATCAACTTGAATATTTCACTGTTTTTAAACTGTCCATCTGAATAAATAGAACTAATAACTAATATTAATAATATTATATATATATATCAAAACAAAATTATAAATAAAATTTCTGCTGTAGGTTTACTTCGCAGGTGATTTGATGTGAGAGATCAGTAATTTTTTTTTAGATTAATGATACCAGGTTGTCAAGGGTTAAGATACTAAGACTTCTATTTTTGTGCATTTTTTTATTATGAGAATTAACTTGTATTTTCTAACAGGTACAGGGGTAAGATTGCCCTTTCATCCGACAGTCATGTTCAAATCTCTCAGAAAGATGATGTCTACAGACTAGAAATACAGAATGTTACTGAAGAGGATATTACCTGTTACTGTTGTCAGGCTATAAATGTAGCTGGTGAAGCAAAGAGCATGGCATCTTTACAGATGAAAGGTGTGAGGCTAGCCTTCTTCCTTTTTACTGTTCAAATAAAAATGCACTACATGACTATTGAACTACTAAATTTTTATAAGCATTTTTTGTATGTATTGTATCTCTTGACAAAAAATTACACACACTTATATAGTGCAGTGGTTCCCAACCTGGTGTCCATGAAGGTGATACCATCTCATTAAACAAGTAACTTTTAAAAGTTTATAAAGTAAAGAATATTATGATTTTGTATACAGTATACTTAAGATTGACCTAACTAAAAGTGTATAAAAATATTCCTTCATAAATAAATTATTTCATATGTTAAACACAAGTTTTTAGTGACCATGTTCACTGTTACTTCTTCAGTTTACATGCAGTTGGAACTTGGTTTATGGATTTGGTTAAGTGCATGCAACTAGTCATAGCTATGTAACAAAACAAATCCAAGATGTGATTTAGGCTGTAAATAAGTGCCCTCTAAGGTTGAAGCATTTTATTTAAACATTTAAAGAAAAATTATTCCTTGCACTTTAGTTCTTGTTCTGCCATCTATGATCAGTATTTAAACCTTTTTCTACTCTTTTTTTTTTCTCAGTAAAACAGCATATGGGCATGTTTAACCTCACTTGTGAAACTTTTATCTAATCCTAGTCATATGGTGTCAGTTTTGGTACCACCTCACTTAATGCACCGTATTTCACCCTAGGCAAATCATAGGATGATAAGCAAAGCATGTGTGCTGTATTTTAAAATAGGAAAATGGGTGATGCTCACTATAAAAAATGACATTTTAGTTTGACACTATACTTAGTTTAGGGTCATAGTTCTTTGTTATGTGTCTTCATAGGTATGAGAATTGGCAACCATTTGTGTTGCAAAATTGGTCATCTGCCCAATTTGCTCAAAGCTGGTGAGAAAATGTTTTGGTATGGGAGTTGAAAACAAAATACTAATACTATTAGGTTCGATCGGAGGTTGACTTAGCTACTTTAATTTTTATGTTAAACCAATATCGATATGTAAGACTTCTTTTAATTGGCTAACTGACAGACATCAACCAATCACAAAACTTCTTTTGAACTCAAAGGTATTTGATCATCTTGGAAATGTATGAACTCTTTAAAGTGCAATGATAAAAAGGTACTAGCTTAAAGGTAGGCTTTACATCCTTCATCATTGGCCTTAATTGTTGGCCACTTTTTTAGAACTACATAAAATAGACATTTTTATTTCATCAGACATTATTTTTATGTGTGAAATCGATTAGATGTAGCTTAATTTTGACAGATATGTAATCTATTTTTCACCATTTCCTTATTATGTTCCTTTATTAGATGAAATTTATGGAAAATAGCTGTCACAATGTATGTTAATTCCAACATACATAAATTTTTGCTTTAAAATTGAAAAAAAGTCTCATAGATAGACACAGGCTCATGCTTGAGCATACATAACATTCCATATTTTTCTTTTAAAAGATTGGTGAGTAATTTGATCAAGTGGAAACTTATTTGTACAACTATTGCCTCAATATTTCATAAAATAACCATTTGTACATAATTAGTTCTAATAATTGCAATTGCAAACACTTGTATATATCAGTCATCTAAATATTTCATGAAATGACCAGTTTGACCATTAACTATTCTCTGTATAAATTTGATCATTGAAACATGAGTTAGAGTGGCAAAGGTACAATGTTTACTAATTATTCTATTATGGCAGATAATGTGAATATTTAGTGCCCTGTCAGAGAGATCTCTTTGGACTAGCCAGAAGTTTTATTTGTAGTTCTCGTCCCTGAATTAGAATTTATTATTAAAAGTAAAATGGAAGCGTCATTAGAATCAGTAATTTTAGTAAATTTACATAAAATATAACTTGTCTATAAGATGCTAAAATGAAACATTCACGTGGCTTCAAATCAAAATTTTTGTAAATCTGAGAGATATTGATGACTCAGATAATAACTTTGAGAGTAGATTGAGTGTTCTTGTAATATGGGTTTGTATTCTTAGAAGGGATTTGAAAACTTGTTATAATGTTCTTTTTTGATACATTCTTTATGCAAATTTTTTATTATGTGATATACAGCTGTAGCTCCAGTTCTTCAACAGGGACTTCCAAGTGAACTGCCTTTGCAAAAAGGTGACCAGTTAATGTTAAAGGCAAGTGTAGATGGTCAGCCACCCCCAGAAATCACTTGGTAAGAAGTGCATTGTTTACATTAAATAGACAATTCTTATTCAACCATTTAATGTATTTTGTATAAACTTTATGTGTATCTTCTTTTAATAGAAGTTAAGTTGTTTAATAAATCATTATTGTTGGTAGTAAGAAAACACATAGGTTTAAAAATCAATTTAATACAAAAATATAAAACTCCAGAACCAGAATGATTTTGAAAGGTGGAACTTAAATTTCTTCAGTAATGCTCGGTCATAGCGTTTTGTATTTTTGTGATTAATGATAGATTATGTTTGGAATCAGATATGTCGCTAGGTGCTTAAAAGATTTGGGGCTCAGACCCCGTGTGCCAGTGCCTAGTGATTCCTCTGTTTGAAATGTTTTAAAGTTAATAATTGTACTTGTACAAGAAACAAATAGTAACAAAGTAATTTATAAAAAGTATAAAACATATATATATATATCTTCACAATCAAATCATGTTTATTGACTCATACAATATTGAGAAACCTTCAGTATCCATAGGTAATGCTTTTATGTTTCCATAAATTTTATAAATAATACATTATTTAAAACTGTTGAAGTTAACCTAATTTGCTGAAATAATTAGAGTTTGAAATTAACATGTGTAAGTTGTATTGAAAGTTAAAATGTATTATAATGTAGTATTTTGATTAAAAAAGAAAAAATTAGGCCAAATTTGGTAGATCTAAAAATAGTAATGATTTAAGACCAAATTGAAACCAAAATTTAAAATCTTTAATATTATTTCTAAGTGGTGTAAGGTATGTAAAGATCATTTTTTTGTAAATATTGCTCTATTCTATTAGATGAATTATATGTAAAATACATTACTTGTTTAAAGGTTAAAAGATGGGGAAATATTGAAACCAAACGATCGAACGAACGTTGAAGCACTTCCTGATGGAACAGTAAAACTAACTATTAGTGATGTTGCACCTGAGGATTCTGGGAAGTATTCACTGGTGGCCAAGAATGACAAGGGAATTGTGGGTAGTGACAGTGAAGTTACTGTAAAAGGTGAGTTTTTAGATCAAATCATAATAATGCTCCATTTGGTGTAACTTACAACATATAAAAGTTTAATTCCATGGCCCTAATATTCTCATATTTATTTACATGTAATTTAAATGTTTAACATCACTATTTTTATAAAACTGAGAACTACATGTAAAAACCATATGATACTGTCCATAACTTTAATACATTGTAACTTGTAAACATAGGCATAGGGGCTTGATTTTGACCAGTGGGGAGCAAGCAAGTTTTGCCTGAAAATTTAAAATCGACCTTAAAATCATGTACTATAAAGTTTAAAGTCTCTTGAAAAAACTAGTTCCAATGACTTCCATGTGGAACCATACAGTGCTAAAGGGTTAAAAAGGTGCAAGTGAAAATGTCACGTGTGGGTCATATAGTTTCTGAAAAGGCATAATCAATTTGCAAATATAAAAGTTATAGATATGTATGGAGCTTTTGCCCAAATATTTTGGGTGATTTTTACCCAAAAAACTATTTGGGTCAGAATTTGGGGGGCAATTGCCCACCTTGACCCCCTTGCCTCCTAGCACCTATACTTGTAAAATTATAATTTGTCAAGAAGATGACATACATGTAGTTTGAATGTTAAGAGTACTATTTTTTTGTATTTTGAGAGATTATTTATGTGTATATATTTCAACTTCAGTGTTCTCAATTAAGCGAAACAAAAAATATCCCTATATTTTTTATATTCTGCCATTTAAAACTTTAATATTATTTTAATGTACTTTAAGCTGATGTCTGATTGTCCACCACAGCATGTTGCCATCCGTGATATGCATTCCCAACACTATTAACTCAAAACAAATGTGAACAATTTACCAAACTAGAAATGTTTGAGAAGATAAAAGCATTAAATAAATAATATTGATTGGTACTTCTTACTAGTGGAAATCACAATTAGTTCATGGTGTAATTATGGTAGCTCTGAACACCACTCTGATATTCTCTGTCTTCACTGCAGAGGTATTAGACTTATCTTCAGTCAACATGATCTTCACTGCATAGGCATGAACAAACACCACTATGCAGGACTTGTTAGTTACTTCACAGCATACTTATGGGTGTTTCTCATGTTAAAATTAGACCTAAAAGTTCTCCACAAAAAAATAAGAACATGCATATGTGTTGAAGTTATGTTCAACATAAATATTTAATGAACATGATATATTCATCAGTGAACATATATTATTCTAAAAGAAATTAATAAAAATCCTATAACCTGTGATTGCCCCTGAAGAAGAAAGGTCCACCTTTCGAAAGTGCTTTGGATATAGGGTTTTTTAATCATTTCTATCAAGACATCTTGATCCTACGTGTTTTTCTAACATCATGCATATATTTTTTTAGGTATACTAGTGATTATTGGCAACTTGTTAGCTGGTTCTGGGTTCTGAAGTGATCACTAGGCTCTGTTTTGCACAAACTATAATTGAGTAGATTACACAAAATATTATATAAATATTTTACCTGATAGCTTGGAAAGTAAGGGTTACAAACTTCTATTAGCTCACAAATGTTTCCAAATCCTTAGTGATTATAGTAGTACAAACTATAATAGGATATCTACTTACATCAGCTGTCCTAACTATGAAACTTGATGAGTTTTAGATATATATATATGGCTGTGCAGCCAAGTGCATCATGTGATTGTGCAGTTTTTCCTCCCTCTTTCTTTTTGTTAACAACTGAAATTTACACATTATGGCAAACATCAAGCTTCTCATGATCACTTGAAGCATTATGTCGCTCTGTCAGTGGATCATTGTTTGAGACTGTTCCAACACAAGGTTCTTGTCAGTGTAGCATCACCACTTCTCTTTCATGAGAAGGCTTCTGGCAAGAATGTTTGTGGCATGAAAACTATTGATCTGCCATAGCACTAGTTTCAGTTTACATGTGTATGAACCTGCCATATTTCACTATTGTTATTCACTCAAGAGAATAGAAGTGATTCCTTAAGGAAGGAACATTGGATTACCCCCCTATAAAAATTCCACAGAAGATTTCTCACTCTGTATTAAATTTTCTTCTTCTCAGTGTTACTGTTTAGCTGATTGTAATTTGTGTTAAGCCTTGAATGTTTCAAATCTTAATCTTATTTTATAGCACACACAGTCTATTACTTTGAAATATTGCACATCATGCACAAAATACTGTAGAAATGATACAGATTTTAGAATTGCACAGTCAATTTTATTACAGCCTTTTTAGTTGTAATGAAATTATATTTGTGCATTTTTAAGCACATTTTACCAGAACAGCAGACATAATTGTATCTTCTCCAAGTATATCTGATAAGTACTTGTGAATGATAAATATTACTGAAACTGATCAGACAGAATATTAAAAATAAAATATTGAAGTTGCATTCTGTATAAAATAGATATAAAAGATGGTGCAAGGAATTAAAGTGATTTCTAAGGCTCTGAATGTTACTTAATGTTTGTAGAAAAAGTAAAGATTGTTGAACCAAAGTTTGTGAAAGAACTAAAGCCTGTCGATGCAGTTAAAGGAGAGGCTGTTAAATTAGAAGCAAAAGTTGAAGGCAAACCCCAACCAAAGATTACCTGGTAAGTAGCAAAGACAATGTATGTCATGTAGTCTAAGGCATTTTTTTTATGTTATCTGAAACTCAGTATCGCACTTTGAAGAGGTTTTTACAACTCAGTATTTAATATAAAGTTATAACCAAAATTAAAGATGAGAAGCTTATATTCACTACAATATATAACATTAGTGACCCATGGAAGATTTATGAATGATAAAGTGTAGATCAGATAGTGTAGCCAAAATAATTAAAAAATATTTTCCAGAAATAATTATGAAATCTTTTTTGTTATGTTTGAGGTAAGTAGGAAATTAGTCATCTCTAATATTTTCCTATGACAAACAGTAATACAAGATTTGTGTAGTAAAGAACAATACATTACAATTCCATGGCTTCTATACAAATACTTAACTTAAAACTTCTAATATCTCTGAAAATTCACCAAATCTCACTTCCCATAAAAGCATGATGTTTGGAAGAGGAACAGACAACATATAACTCATTTTTCAATCCCTCCAGTGGTACAGCAGTATGCCTGCAGACTTACAATGATAGAAACCGGGTTTCGATACCAGTGGTGGGCAGAGCACATATAGCCCATTGTGTTGCTTTTTGCTTAATTACAAACAAACAAACTAATTTTCCAAATATTCCTTGGCTAATGTGTTGTGTTAAGATAAGTTTAACCCTGTAGAGTTACCACTGTAGACCCCATTGACTTTTTAAATTATTTATGCATTAAATTGTATGTGAATTCATGATTTTGTTCTTTACTGGACCATCATAACACAAGAAAATTTAAATAAAAAGTACCATTAATAATGCAATTAATTCCTCTAATTACTTTTGTGATTCCACTCTGTATTTTGCATTGAAAATGAGTATCTTCACCCAAATTTTTGGTAAGTTCTTTCCACCTTTATAACAGGCACAACATAAAATTACTGTATATGATGCAGTAGGTGGACACCACTGGTAGTAAACTATATAAAACAAGATGATAATTTGAAACATGACAATATTATTGACTTGTGGGTTTGTTTGCTAGATGTGTTTTCACTTTTTTAAATTATTGTTATTTAAACTTAATGGATCCATTAAAAACCTGTCATATAATCTTATCATTTTTAGGTTGAAGAATGGAGAGGAGATCATTCCCAGTGACCACATCAAAATAAGTGAGAAACCAGATGGAACTGTTACTCTTGAAATTGATAGCTGTTCTCCTGAAGATGCTGGGGAATATGTTGTCAAAGCAGCCAATGAAGCAGGAGAAGCAACTACAGGAGCTCCAGTCACATGTAAAGGTAAAAGAACCAACTTCAGTTAGTTAGAATGTGTGTTTTTTACAAATAGAAAGTTGAAGATGATTATAATAACTGTATAATAGCAAATTTTGTGTTATTATGTTTGATGACTAGGAACCTATTTCTAGATAATAAAGTTTGGATAAAGCTTTAATAGGTATTGAAGAAAACTTTTAGTATGAGTTACGAATGTACAGTGTTTCAACATTTTCTTCATTACCCATTCAAGCTTCTACAAACTTATATTATTATCAGGAAGAGTATTAGTTAGATGATCATAAGCGACATTCCTTAAAAATCACCATAAACTATTAACTTTCATATTTACACTTCTGGCTAATTCTCAGTTCAATCTTAAATATGAAAAGTATACTTTTGAAAAGTGCTGATGTTTTTTACAATTATGATATGTTATATATATTTTTTAAACAACCTTAGTATAATGAGCTGTATGTTAATATCTCAAATTCTGTAGGAACAGGAAGTTCTGTAGTAACTATCATGACCAGTGGGCACTTTTAGGTGTCAAGCTTACACCAAGTATATCTAGTTTCAAAATTTATGCAAGAGTAATAATTCTAACTTTATTTCAACAGTTTTTAACTCAAAAATGTTTGAGAATTAATAGTTTGTCATTTTGTGACTGTGTTTTTGTTTGCAAAGAAAAAAAAAAAGTCAAACTTAAATTTTGGTGTAGCTTTGAGGTTTCTCACCTGTAATGCTCTTATTGACTTTTTTTTTGTATCTTTTCCCCATCCCATAGCATTTTGGGTTTATATTTGTTAATAAGCTATCATCCCTTTAGAATTTAATTAACCATGTCTTGTTTCCTACGTGGTGTGGGTAATTCTTCGGATTTACAATGCTAAAATCAGGGGTTCGATTCCCTTCGGTGGACACAACAGATAGCTCGATGTGGCTTTGCTATAAGAAAACACACACCTATGTGGTGTACATTCTCTATTTAAGGATTTATAATTATAGCTCTTCATTTCCTCCATTTTTTAATATCACAGTATGTGATCTGAACAATTATTAATGAAACAAAGCTTTGAAAATACACACACTGTTCAAATACCATTCAATAGATTTTTATTATAATCTGTTTATATCACTGTAGTACACATAAAGTGGTGGAAGCATTTATTATACGGTTTTGTGTGAAAATGACTGTATGAAGATTCTCAGAGATAAACAAAGGAGCCTAATGGGAACTTTAGAAGTCGTAAAAACAAACTACAGATCTTGGAATTTTTTATACAAATTTTATGGAAGACTTCCCACTCTGTATTAAATTTTCTTTTTTTTCTTCTCTGTATCGCAGTTTACCTGACTGTAATTTATGGCTATTTGATGTTAAACCTTCAATCACATGTTTTAAATCTTATTTTATAAGGGGTGTTGCAAAATAAATTACAGTTTTTTCCCCTAGAGCACAACAAAGTAAAATAAGATTTTAATTCAATCAAAAAAAGTAATTCCAAGTATCAATATTGCTTGATTGGGCCACCATTGTTTTCATGCACGAGTTTTAATCGATTTGCAAAAGATTTCAGCAATGCAACAAATATGTCTGTTTTTGTGGCTGTCTATGTAAGCACATCAGTGGGAACACGAATCATAGTTTCACATTTCTGTCCCTTGCATTCAGGCTAAGTTTCCAAGATTTCTTCTGTGCATTGTTGAACGAAAGCTCTGACATTTTGGGAGGGATTTAAATCTGGAGATTTCCCAGTCCACATTCCACCACTTTTTCACAGACAACTCCTTCAAATTCAACAATTCTGAAACTTTTTGAGGCATTAACAAGATTTCTCAAATCTGGCATTGCGATGTGTCAATTGGAAGACTTGAATTCTCGGAGCATGTCTGCGATTAGTTTCTGAGCCATTCCGAAGCCAGCATATGCGACATGAACCTGAGTTCTAGTGAGCACCACGATTCAAAAGATTTCACAAAAAATTGAAATTCAAAGAGTCAAACATCCAAGAGTACATTGAAATTATGTTTTCTTACGAGTGATGATATTCGTGGTCCTACCAAGTTCATCATTACTTTGGGGTAAAAAAGTGTGATTTATATTGCAACACCCCTTAGCAAGTTCTTGTACTGTCTTGAAATACTACCTGTTGTGCAAAATGAGTGTAAAAACTATATACAGTGTTTGAAATTGCACAATTATAAGTTTTTTGCAATAAAAAAGGCCTTAAAACTCATTTTTTGGCATAATATCCTGATGATGGAAACAACATCATTCCATCAAAAAATGTAGAACTTTACAGCTATTTTAGTTGTATTAAAATTATAATTGTATAATTTTAAGCACAGTTTATGAGAACAGCAGGCACAATTGTATCTTCTTCCAGTATAACTGATAAGTACTCCTGAATAATAAATATTATGGAAGTGTAATGATAATATAATTAGTCAGATAGAATATTAAAAGAAAATATTTAAGTTGCATTCTGTGTAAAATTGGTATAAAAGTTGGTGCAATGAAGTATAAAAAAAATTCTGTCTGTGGTATTTAATGTTTGTAGAAAAAGTAAAGAAGGTTAAACCACAGTTCGTGAAAGAACTAAAACCTGTTGATGCAGTTAAAGGAGAGGCTATTAAATTAGAAGCAAAAGTTGAAGGCAAACCCCAACCAAAGATTATGTGGTAAGTAGCAAAGACAATGTTTGTCATGTAGTCTAAGGCATTTTGTTTATGTTATCTCAAACTCAGTATCGCACTTTGAAGAGGTTTTTACAACTCAGTATTCAATATAAAGTTATAACTCATTATGTGAGCCTTATAGCCAATAACTTTATGGAAGTTCTTCCAAAATTAAAGATAAGAAGCTTATATTCACTACAATATATAACATTAGTGACCCATGGAAGATTTATGAATGATAAAGTGTAGATCGGGTAGTGTAGCCAAAATAATTAAAAAATATTTTCCAGAAATAATTATGAAATCTTTTTTGTTAT